TGACCCATTAAGGAGTTGTTGCCCTTTAAAGGCAATTTTACACAATTTGTTCGTCATGATTGTTTAATTTAAACTTTAAAAAATCTTCTCCTCTGAAACTACTGAAGCAATGTCAGCTAAACTTACGCTGAATGATCCTTAGGGTAACTTAAGTATAGTTTGTGTTTTATATTTTGTTTCATAAAAAAAACAAGGCCACCATGGCTAAAAATAGAACATAGGAGAAAAATGTGGTTTTTGGCTTATATCTCTAAAACCAAGGTATTTGAGCAAATCTTGAGTTAAAGTGTTCATTAGGACAAGATCTACCTGCCCTGAAATTTTCAGCCAAATTGGATAACTGATTTTTAGGTTATTGCCCCTGAATTGATAATTTAAAGGAAATTTTGCAGTTTTGGTTATTATCTTGAATTGATTAATATAGATAAAGATAAACTGTAAACAGTAAAAATTCTTAAGGGTTCCGCTGATCATAAGTCGCAGGCTCAACAAAAATGGGGAAAAATTTATTAAAATTTTTTCTCTAGATACTATCTTTTGATTGTAAGAAGGTTAATTGTGTCTAAGTTTGGTAAAAATCCAGGATGGTTTATGAATCTAATAAATGTTTTAAAAACTTTAACTGCAAACTGTATGTAATGTTAACTGGAAGAAAAACTAAGTTCATTTATAAGTAAAATACGAAAAAACAGGAAATAAATTTTTACAAAATTTCCTTCTAGATACTAGCTTTTGGTCATAAACAAGCTTCTGTCCATGTTTGGTACAAATCTAGGATAGTTTAAGAAAGTTATTAAAATTTCAAAAACTTTAACGGCAGAGTGAATGTAATGTTAACTGGCAGAAAAAAACAAAGTCCATTTATGAGTAAAATACGGATAAACAGGATTTTTTTTTTTACAAAATTTACTTCTGGATACTATCTTATGATCATAAACAAGCTTCTTTCCAAGTTTGGTAGAAATCCAGGATAGTTTAAGAAAGTTATTAAAATTTCAAAAACTTTAACCACAGAGTGAATATTTGTGAACGCCGCCGCTGCCACCGGAATGTATATGATCACTTTGTCTTGCTTTTGCAACAAAAGTTGCAGCGCTCGACAAAAATGTTCAGTAAAGTAAGATCTACAAATAAGTCAAATGATCAAAATTGTCAATTGACCCCTTAAAGAGTTTTTGCCCTTTAAAAGGTAATTTCACATAATTTGTTCATCATGTTTGTTACTTTCAAAAATCTTCTCTGAATTAAACTATTGAAGCAAATTCAGCCAAACTTGGGCTGAATGAACCTTAGGGTAACTAGTATGCATTTTATGTTTTATTTGTTTCATACTTACTTTTCTTTTATTGTTTTTAGCTCACCTTTCCTAATTGCCACGCAATACTCTCAGAATGCTGGATACTATACACACTGGTTTGTGTCCACACTTATTAATTATACTTAAAAAGCAAAAGAAAAACTTTGATGAAAAATTTAAAAAAAAAACTACAGGTGAGCGATTCAGGCTCTTGAGAGCCTCTTGTTTTATTTCATTTATTTCTTAAATTGTTTTTTTTTAAATTTTCATTAGTATTTCACTTTACTTTCATTAGTATTTCACCTTATTTCCCCACTTTTTAATGTTTTTTTTGCAATTATCTTTAGGATTTAAAAAAAATATTTTCGACCCTATCTTTTTTTTAGTACGATTGCAAAAAATTTCCATTGGTATAATGCTATCACGTCGTTGTTGTCCTAAGACATTTGGTTTCAGGACAATAACTTTAGTTTAAGTGTATGGATCTCTATGAAATTTAACCAAAAAGGTTTAATACCACAAAAGGAAGGTTGGGATTGTTTTTGGGGGTGATGGTCCCAACCGTTTAGGAATAAGGGGCCAAAAAGAGGCCCAAAACAAGCAATTTTTTAGTTTCAGGACAATAACTTGTTTATAAGTATTTTTGATTGCTCTAAAATTGTACTACAAGGTTCAATACCACAAGTAGAAGGTTGGGATTCATTTAGGGGGTAATTGCCCAAACCGTTCAGGAATTAGGGGCCAAAAAGGGGTCAAAACAAGTACTTTTTTCTATTTTTCAGACAATGCAACCTGTGTTTAAGTGTATGGATGTCTCTGAAATTGTACCACATTTTACAAAAAGAAAATTTCTTCAAATATTATTTTTTTTAGAAGGGGGGGGGGTAAAAAAACGTTTATTTGGGGAGGGGCAATTTTTTTTCCTCAAGATTTAAGAAATTATCAATTTTCCAAATAAAAAATTTCACAATTTATTTTGCAAATTCTTTGTATATACCAGTAGTCTGAAAACAGATTTACTAAGTATTGAAAACAGATTTACTAAGAATTGCGCAACAGCACAGTGTATTGCACAACAGCAAGAAATCTTCAATTGAATATAAATTCAAATCATATAACCAATTTCAAGTTCTTTGACTACATTTATTCTGTGTCAGAAACCTATAATGTGTCAAATATTTAATTACAATCCAAATTCAGATCTGTATCAAGCTTGAATATTGTGTCCATTTTTTGCCCCAACTGTTCAGGGTTGGACCTCTGCGGTTGTATCTATAAATACCGCATCAGTTGTAAAAGTCACGTGGTCAGGTAATCAATACACAAAAAGAAAAGTATCACGTGTATTGATGATCAAGTTGTACTGCAATTAAAGCCAACATCAACAGTTTCAAATAAGATGGCCTTAATTTACAAAGTGTTAAGTACTCACAGAGAGAAGATAGATTATATAAACAGAAACAAAAACACGAGAACAGTCAGGTACTGAAGCTGATTGATGCAATGATGGTTACTGTATTACGATACACAGAAAAATGACACAATACCGAGGATAATATTTTATTTATTTTTAGAATGAAGAAAACAAAACAGTTATAAATAATTTTATTGCATATAACACTACTAATTATTTAGATACATATATCAATTTATGCATCCTTTCAGTTACATTTAAGTATCCAGCTGATCATTGACCATCAAAAATATTTCTTTGAAAAATGTCCGGCTGTCGTCAGGAAATTTTGGAAGCCCTGATCATGATGGTGATGATAATAGACAAATATCTTGGGGTCTGCCATTTTATGGACATATATACCAATGAGTAATAGGATAACTATTTTTGGTATTTGAGATCCTTGCAAGGACATTCAAGTTCGTGTCTGTCAGACAGGGTTCACTTGACCTTGACCTTATTTCATGGAGCAGTGATCAAGCCATCAAGGTCAAGTTTTTGTGGTCAATTTAAAGTCCATATTTATTTTAAAGCAGTGGCGGATTTACCGGGGGGGCACAGGGGGCACGTGCCCCCCCCCAGTCGGGGTCACCAAAAAATTTTCTAACATAGTTTTATTGCTACTGTATCTGCTTATCTAGATATCTAGATCAAAAATCAAGACACAGCTTGATCTGACTTCCTAAACTGGTCGTTAATTAACCCCAGCTTCAACATGCGTGATTTATGACAACTTATCGATGGGTGTGTAAATATTGACACCTTTGTGTAATGTCTATATCCAAAAGCATTTATGTAAACTACATGTACATCTACATGCTGATTGGAATTAATACGAATATATTTATTGATTTCTTATACAATATTACAGGATCAAGATCGATTAACAAGAGAAATCTTCTGATCAGGAAAGAAATTACCAACTAAAATCGGTCTGAAAAGAATATGTAAAAATAGATGTTTTGTGTCAGGAATGTTAGTATCGATATGAGATACGTCTTTATTACCAAGCACTCACATTGTATACGGTTTCTGGGGAATGTGTCTTTCTCAGAACAGTCTTTTTCGGACTTTATTAAACAACAAACTATTTTTTTTCAATGCATACATCTTTTTTTTAAACTGAATGTCGTGTTTTTTCCCTTTATTTTTTTTATGGAAACCAATGATTTGTCTTTAAAAAAAACCCTTAAGTCCCCCTCCACAAAACATGAATGGTCTGTGCCTTATATATATATCATTAATAAAATGATATTGTACTTTTAGAAAACCTATACTCATATTTGAGATAAAGAACAGCAATAAAAGCGCTGTTCCTTTGCTTATTGTGTGTTTTTTTGCTGTGCATGTACTGATTTTGTGTCGTGGATGGATACCCAATATCCATTCTTTTTCTATTATAGTACAGTAATATGTGTATACACATTTTTTTCTTGTTTTAATTACCATGTATGAGGGTATGAATAGGTTACCATGAATGAGGGTATGAATGGTTTACCGTGAATGAGGGTATGAATGGGGTTTACATATTAGAGAATAATGGTCAAAAAGTAGACTAGAAAAAAAATGTGCCCAAAAAATATAGAAAACAGATTAAAGGTGTGATGAACTATAAAGAATAGAGGACAATTGGCAGCAAATAAAAGAGTAGAAAGAAATGGATCCAAAAATAATGAAAAGATATAGAAATGAAGACCTACCCCCCCCCCCCCTTTCCACGACCACCATCATCCCTAATACATGACACCACCACCACCCACACTCGCATATATACATATCTTAACAAATCTTTAATTTTGGTTTCATGGTGCCCCCCCAGACTTCGAGGTTCTGGATCCGCCCCTGTAAAGATACTATAAGATAAGGTCAACTATATTTGATATATGGAATGATTCTAAGTTGAGCATGTCTGTCTGGTAAGGTTCATCTGACCTTGACCTCATTTTCATGGTTCTTCAATGTGATGTTTTTATGTTTATTCTAAATCCCAACTACTATAAACTCTAGTTGATTTGTTTTTGATTTATGGAATGATTGTAAGGTGTCAAATACATATCCTTTTGACAAGGTTCATCTGACCTTGACCTCCTTGACCAGTTAATGTGATACTTGTAGTAAAACCTTTATGTTCATATATTCATAAATACAATCATGAGAAGAAAAGCAGGTGAGACATTTAAGTATGTTCACTCTCATGGCTCTTGTCTTTGTGAAAATGAAAGCTTACCAATTTCTGCCTCTTTTATTTAGGGTAATGGCTCAAGCTCAAGTACCTGTTACCAATACATGCACTCATCATCCAATGCAAATTTACCAGTTCTACTGTGAAAATGACAATACACTGGCATGCAGATTATGTGTAACTAGCATACACCAAGGTCACACCTTATCTGATCTCAGTGAACATGCAAAATCAAAAAGAAGGGAGTTGAAAGATCACCTTCAAAGCATGAAAGACGAATTACAATTGATTCAAGATGAAGAAAAGCAAAATGATCAGCATCTTGATGAAATGGAACGGAAAAGATCGTTCATTGTACAAACCATTTCGGACAAAGCTGAATATGTAAAAGAAAAAGTTGAAGAAGCTAAGTGTAAACTTGAGGAAGAATTCAAGGCATTGCAGAAGATCGACAAAACTCTTTTGGGTAATTGTAAACAGAAGGCTGCAGCATGCAGAGAAAAGCTTCAAAAACACATGGAAACTGTAGAGAAGCAGCTATCTAATAATGATACTGATTTACTTCATTGGATATCTAAAAATAGATTTGATCCACTTTGTTTTGATAGGTCATTTTTAACTGAAATGGCATTGGGTAAACCATCTGAATATAGATTTGATTCAATAGAGATTGATGAAAAGCGTATGGCACGTATGATTGGTCGTTTTCAAAATGTCTGTTATATAGACCATGTTTGCTCAGATGCTGAATTTCAAGGTCAAATAGAATTGAATAGCTCAATTGATTTTAAAAGCAATTTTCCAAATTATCAACATGTTGGGACGGTCTTTCCTGTTCATGGGGAATTGGCATGGATTGGATTTCAGCGCCCTGAAATTTTACATTTGGTAACCAAAAAAGGCAGTGAAAAGATGAAAATTCTTGTAGGTTTTGATTTCAAAGATATGAAGATCACAAAGTATGGTGATATACTAATATCAGAAGAAAAAGGTTCAAAAGTTTGGAGATTTACCTTTTGTGGAAGGAAACAGGAATTTTATGATGCATCACCATTTATAACTAGATGTATGTGTGTCACAAGAAATGGCGAAGTTCTGCTTTGTCTTCATAAGAGTGGTACTAAAGGTAAAATTGTAAAATTGAGTCCCACTGGTAAAGTTATGGCTGAATATTCAGAGAATCAAAATGGAAAAGAAATGTTTCAAAAACCTGATAGAATTATTCAGAATGTAAATGATGATATTATAGTCATTGATTGGGGAACAAAAGCAATACAAGGATTTAGTCAGGATTTCACAAAGATTAAGTTTACGTATAGTGGATCTCCAAAACCAGCAGGACCAAAGCCCTTCACACCATATGGCATAGTAAATGACAGGATGGGTCATTTATACATAGCAGATTATGAGAATCATATAATCCATGTTCTTCGACCAGATGGAAATTTCTTATCCTTTCTCCAATTCAAGGAGCTGGAAAAAAATTGGCCCAGAAGGGTTGCAGTAGATTTGAAAAGTTTCTTATGGATTGGGTGTAATAATGCTAAATTGTACAGAATTAGTCTCCATAATTTGGGATTACAGATTTAAGTCTCACTGCTCTAGTCAGTTACAAAATGTATATATTCTGTCAAATTTATTGACTAGATGTGCAAAATTTATTCACTTACAGATCATACCTTTTCACTTGGTCTAATCTTTTTAGTGTGAAATGTGTTCGCATTTAATTGCCTGACCTGTCGTAAATAAATGGGTGTGTCTATTCATGTCTCTTGTCACTTTTGTATAACAAGTGAAATTTTTTTATGAATTTACCCGAATTCAAAGAAGTTAATGGGTCAGGCAAGCAAATCTGGTAGCTCGAAACAAACTGACAGATTCCTTATAATGTATTAAAATTTACATTGACATAACTAAATGATGTGTGATGTTTTGAATGCCTTTGTTTTCATTATACCTCAGTGTAAGTTTTATGATTTATATAAACTTTATTATGATAAGTTAGATATTAAAAAGCAATGTATAGTTTTGTTTTTGTTATTTTCAGTATTTCTAGTGTAGCAAGTTTTTTTTCACATGTACAAATGATGTATGCATTTTTCCAATACGAAAAACAAACTTTTTCATTACATTATATATTGTTTATTAGGGTATTAATTTATGAGCTTTGTTCACTTGTTTTTCTAGTTAAAAAATGTATATTTTTAACAGAAAAAGTCATATATTCTGCTGAATCTCCTATGGGATACAATGTGGTTTGATTTTTTTATTGTACAAAAAGTAGAAAAAGAGGTGGAAATATACCATAGGGCATGTAGGGAGAATCAAAATTCATAATTGGAAGAAATATACACACAATCAAGGCAAAAAAAATAATAAAAGCCATAAAAAGACAACAACAAAAAAACCACACCATACCAAAAGCTGAATGATTCTCAGGTGCTCCAAAAGGGTAAGGTATCTCAGCTCCACATGTGGCACTCATCATGTTGCTCATTGTAAGTGCAAATTCGGTGCTAAGTCTAGAATTAAGATTGGAATTGTTTTCAATGGTGGCAGTTGAATTGAAAATGGTGGTTTGACAAGCATTTCAAATATTTATGATCTTATTTTTTAAGAGTGTAGTAATATCATATACAGAACTAGGTATAGCAGTCATGTTGGGAAGAATCTGTTTTTTTTCTAATGATGTTTAGAACAATATTTACGCATTAAACTTTTTATTCATCAAGTATGGTCCTATTGTAACATGGCATCATAGTCACACTAATTAAATCAGAGGCTGGTGATAAAAAATTTTATCAATAAAAATCATTGAACTTTTACAATAATTTGGAAAAATCTCCCTCTGAAGATATGTCTCCTGTTTCTTGTGAATAAATTCATTAATGATTGTAATCCTTTGAATTTTTTTTTATTAAAAATGTATTAATATAATTTAACGGCTAAAAGTAAAAATATTGTAGACAATAAGTTGAAAGATTTCAATCACAAAAAACTGCCAGGGAATTTACTCATTTTAGAAGTTTGTTTTTTATTATATTTTGCAACTTTGCAGATGTGATTACCAGACAATTTGCAATTTTTGTCTGCAAGATCTTTTTTTTTACATATATGATATTAATTTTATATATATACACATTATAGTTCACAATTTGTTAATACATGAACAGTTTACAAATGGTATAATTTCTCATGTTAAATTTTTTTTATTATATTTTAAATGACTGTTAAAAAGCATTTACTTTCAAATAAATAATTTTAATAATAAAAACTTACTTTTTATTTATTTGGTGTCTTTAGATCTGTAATGGCCGAGTTTAAATAGTGGTAACAAAATAAGTTGACCAATTGAAAGCAATTTGTCATAGCATTCAGTCTGCAGAAGGAATTTCTTTCAATATTTGGTTGCAGTTTTGGTGGCAGTTCCAAAAATATTTCAACATTTATTAAACCAAAAATCTTCATATGGAAATTACCAGAAAGTGTTCTGTAGGTGCCCTGATGATATCAGTTGGCCAAATCACAGTCAAAACTGTAACACTCACTAAGGAAAGCACAATTAATCTCTCTGTCATATTTGGTAGTAGTTTGTTGAAAGGTTCTAAAGATTAATTTTTTAATCACATATTTCCATGTGATAGTCTGAATTGGACGATGGAGGCATAGACAATTACAAGTATACAGACCAATTAATTGAAGGTGTGAATTTGTGACTTCAGTTTTAAAATCTCTCCAGCAAATGTTATAATGTTTAATAGTGAACCTAGAGGCTCTAAAGAGCCTGTGTCGCTCACCTTGGTCTATGTGCATATTGAACAAAGGACACAGATGGATTCATGACAAAAATGTGTGTTTTGGTGATGGTGATGTCTTTGTAGATCTTACTTTACTGAACATTCTTGCTGCTTACAATTATCTCTATCTATAATGAACTTGGCCCAGTAGTTACAGTGGAAAATATTTTGTAAAAATTTACAAAAATTTACAAAATTTATGAAAATTGTAAAAAATTTACTATAAAGGACAATAACTCCTTAAGGGGTTAATTGACAATTTTGGTCATTTGACTTATTTGTAGATCTTACTTTGCTGTACATTATTGCTGTTTACAGTTTATCTCTATCTATAATAATATTCAAGATAATAACCAAAAGCTGCAAAATTTTCTTAAAATTACCAATTCAGGGGCAGCAACCCAACAACATGTTGCCTGATTGGTCTGAAAATATTAGGGCAGATAGATCTTGACCTAATGAACAATTTTATCCTGTCAGATTTGCTCTAAATACTTTGGTTTCAGAGATATGAGCCAAAAACTGCATTTTACCCTATGTACTATTTTTTAGCCATGCCGGCCATCTTGGTTCGCGGGCTGGGTCATCGGACACATTTTTTAAACCAGATACCCTAATGATGATTGTGGACAAGTTTGGTTAAATTTGTCTTAGCAGTTTCAGAAGATTTTTGTAAAAGATTACAAAAATTTATGAAAAATGGTTAAAAATTTACCCCTTAAGGAGTTATTGCCCTTTATAGTCAATTTTTAACCATTTACGAAAAATGGTTAAAAATAGATCTTACTTTGCTGAACATTATTGCTGTTTACAGTTTATCTCTATCTATAATAATATTCAAGATAATAACCAAAAACGGCAAAATTTCCTTAAAATTACCAATTCAGGGGCAGCAACCCAACAACGGGTTGTCAGATTCTTCTGAAAATTTCAGTGCAGATAGATCTTGACCTGATAAACAATTTAACCCCATGTCAGATTTGCTCTAAATACTTTGGTTTCAGAGATATAAGCCAAAATCTACATTTTACCACTATGTTCTATTTTTAGCCATGGCGGCCATCTTGAATGGTTGGCCGGGTCACCGGACACATTTTTAAAACTAGATACCCAAATGATGATTGTGGCCAAGTTTGGTCAAATTTGGCCCAGTAGTTTCAGAGGAGAAGATTTTTGTAAAAGTTTACGGACGACGGACGCAGGACCCCAAGTGATGAGAAAAGCTCACCTGGCCCTTTGGGCCAGGTGAGCTAAAAAGCATATAATTAATTGATTGATTTTCAAAGATTTCTCTCCAGTCCATCATTCCCATATCCATTTTCCCCTTATTGTTGATTTCTATAAATCTTTCCATTATTCATTTACACTTACACTGTACAATTGTGACAAGTCATTGTAAAACATCAGCAAAATATTTCATAGTACAAATGAAAGGTTTAGGCATTATTAATTATTCAAAATTCATTTGTTTTCTATTTTATTACATCAGATTTAATATCATTAGCCTGCATACATTTTTCATCTAGTTTTAATTTTTTAACCTCTGTAACATCTTCTGGCTGTCTACCTTCCAAAACTCTTTTAACAGATTTACAGTTATCATTCTCCCTCTTTATGTCTGTATTTCTACTTTCACTATCTGTAAGTCTACTTTCACTTTTACTTGTAGAATTTGTACTGTTTTGTACTTTTTTATCATTTGATACATTTTGTTCTATAATCCATTTGTCTTTTTCTTCTAGCTTTGTTTTATGTACAACTCCTACTGTAGACTTCGTTATTTTTCTGGATTCTACAATGAAAAAGTTTTATGAAAATATTCATTACAATAGTTGTATTAAATGAACCAGAAGTGGGTCCAGCCATTTTGAAAAGGGGGGGAATCCAACCCCTGGAACATCATGAAACATTCACATAATTAATAAATAATTGAATAAAGAGCTGCGCTATGAGCGCATGATACATCCTTTACTCTTTCAACAAATAAAGTTCCATAACTCCTCAATGTCAGAAATTAATAACAAGAGGCTGTCGAGTGATAGAAAACCGGATTTTCCTGCAGAGGTCAAACCCTGAACAGTTGAGCAAGTATAAACACAACATTTAAGCTTAAAACAGCTCTGAATTTGGATTGTGATTGAATATTTAAAATAGATTTTTAATGAAAATTATATGTGCAAATCTGAACCCAAAACAGGATTATGTAAAAAAAAAACTGTTATCACAGAGATATGTCTCGCCTTTTTGTAATTTTGATAATGCAAGTGTTGAAATTAAAATTGCAATACTTTAACATGTAAGTAATGCAAATATTCAAAGTCGATGAACCTTGAATGAGATGTGCCAATGCTAATACAACTGCATACTAAATACCATTGACTTATTATAAGTCGTTCCCTTTAAACAAACCTAAACACAAACATTAACTTGCATTTTGTATACTATGTAAAAGTTTCAAAAGTCAATGAACCATGATCAGGGGTGGGGCTATATAATCTCCATGGAAAAGATACTTGCAAATGCCAATAAATTTGCATACCAAATATAAATGACTTAATAGTAGCAGTTCATCTTAAACTGATCTAATCACAAACTAATACATGTAAACTAATCAAAAGTTTCAAAGTAAATAGACCATGACTGAGGGGGCGAGGCTAAATATCCTCCATGGAAATGAGATGTGCTAATGCTTATACAACTGAACACCAATTAACATTGGCCTACCACTAATGGTTCCCCTTGAACTGACCTAATCACAAACTAATACATGTTAACTTAGCAAAATTTTCAAAGTCTATAGACCATGACTAAGGGGGCGTAGCCAAATAATCTCCATGGAAATGAGATATGCCTATGCTTATACAACTGCATGCCAAATATCATTGACCTACCACTAGTGGTTCCCCATGAATTGACCTAATCGCAAACTAATACATGTTAACTATGAAAAGTTTCAAAGTCAATAGACCTTGACTGAGGGGGCGGGGCCAAATAATCTCCATGGTAATGAGATGTGCCAATGCTAGTACAACTGCATACCAAATGTCATTGACCTACCACTAGTCGTTCACCATGAACTAGACCTAATCACAAACTAATACATTGTTGACGCCGTCGCCGCTATCGCCGTCGCCAGAAACACCTATGTCTCGCTTTTTGACTCCGTCAAGGCGAGACAATTAAACATTAACACACACAACAAAAATAAAATACCGCATAACAACTGTGACATCTACCTTCATAACACACATGACTTAAAGAAAATAGTTATAAAGAAATTTTGACAACTAATGACTAAAATTAATTGAACAGAATCTATATATTTAATTTATCATTACTGGTTCTTCATGGAATAAATTTAAGTTAAATCCCTTTGAACAGAAATATGGTTTAACTAATAAAGCAAACATAGTTCTCTAAAATTAGATATGATTTAACTCTCTAAAATTAGATATGATGTTACTCAATGTATACCTATTTTCAAATTATAATCAAATATAATTAATAGTTCCAAATATTTTTTCTTTCATTTGTCACAAACTAATAGAGATCTGTAACTTATCTATCAATGTCAATAACTTTATCTTCACAATGTAATGTAATGAAATATATCCCTTTCACCAAAAAAAGTTACATATACAGCATTCAGAAAATTAGTTTATACAAAATAACAAACAAACCTACCACAAAATTCTTCAAACAATTTACCAAAGAAAAGAAAAAAAATCAAAAAATCAAAATGGCATTTATCATTAAAACAATGTCTTTTAAAAATCTTTTAAAAAATGAGTTATTTCCCTTTGTACAGAAATGGAATAATTCATTAAAAATTGAATTCTTTGGAAAGGGCTATAACTCAACAACGAGAAAAGCTACAATCCTGAAAATTGTACTTGACCTTCCTTTAGTCACAGGGAACAACATATCTATTTCGTCAAAGCGTTTTCATGTTAATGAACAGACACTGTTTGGCAGCCGCCTGCCCGCCTTACATCCTCAAATCAATAACCTATTTTTACACCGAAAATCCAGTTCAAAAACTAGAGGGAGCTTATTTTAATAAATATAAATCAGTCACCAAAGTTTCATGAAAACAGCTCAAAGCATTTTTGAGTTATTGTCAGAAAACTGGAAAATCCCCCTTTTTAATGAATAAAACCCCATTACTCAGAAACATAAAATCTAAAATTTATAAAAATTAAAAGAGAGCTTACGTCAATAGATATAAACAATTCACCAAAGTTTCATGCAAATTGGTTAAAGCGTTTTTGAGTTATTGTCCGACATGTTGACGACAGATGGACAGATGGACGTATGGACAACAGTATACCATAATACGTCCCGTAAATGAGCGTATAAAAAAAAGGGGGTTCAAATCCCGAGAACACCCCCTGGATCCGCCAATGTGAACCGTCAATACTTTGCAAAACTGCATTTAACAAATGAACCCATCTAACTGATATTTCTCACATGTGTTTACTCAAACAAAATT